CATTGGCGTGTGCTCGACAGCCGAACGACCACAGTTAGTGGCAACATGCGCCATCCAGGAAATGCAACGGTAAATATTGGTATCTTGCACAGAAATAATGGGAAGATGCATGGAGCGTGTTATATACTAGTTATGCAATGTTTTCGAGTGGCATACGGTGAAATATCTAGAATAGTACACGATTGACTCGATTTCTTATGATACACCCGAGCCATCCTCACCCGAGCCTTTAGGCGAGTGGGCATGCAAGAAAAGCTATTCTCAAATGGGAAATTCCCTATATGCCATGCTTTCCCATGTGCACAACAAATACAAGACTGACAGTGCAAGAATAGAGGCACATACCTTCGATTGAATATATACGAAGACAAACAAGTTTAAAAGTAAAAAGTTAAACGTCATCGTAAGAGGTAAATAAGGTAAAGTCTGCATATGAGTCAAGTGGCCCATCACCACATTTTTGCATCACCGAATTCGGTTCAAATTCCTCCGCGGGCGTTGACAAGTTATTAAGAATGTTGTCTTAACAATTGTTTTGCTTGAAGGTAAAAAAGTTCTTGGAAGCCAAAACTGCTTTCTTCTCCGTTAATGGGTTCTCGATACGTTGCTGTTTAGCAATCGACTTTAACAAGATTTCCCTCTCCAGTATCATGTTTTTACGTGCTTTAAGTCATAAAGAGTCGAATTTGGGCGAATATTTAATCTGGTTCACTATTTCTTGTAAAACCTAAATTGAGCTGAATTAAAAATACCTACCGCGCGATGTCAGTTATAAACGGCTGGAAACGTTCGTGGAATACGACCCTTGGGAACTGAACTGTACGATATGGAACAGTCTTCCAGTGTCCTGACTGGTGAATTGCACAAGGTATGGGATTAAAAACCAGTATTCTTCAGATTTTACGTGTCAGTCAGTCGTGTGCAAATTTTAATAACCTTTTAAATTATTTTTCATTTTTACTAACTTCCATGCAATAATGCAGACATAATATTACACTGATGTATATCAGTTGATTGTGCCTTGGTTTTGTCTAATCAAGAGTATCTTTTCGACAGAAGCAAAACACCAGCCTCAGCAACTTTGAAGATGCTCCGATTAACTGCGTGTTGGGTTCAACCGTTGTCTTCAACAGCAACCCAAGTCGCCAGTGCGGCTTTCTTTCTCCCGGCATGTTTAACTGTTGCCGCGTGTGTAATTTAGATCATTCCACGTGCGTCAAAAACTTTCCAAACGATTACTACGGAGTCTTACCTCACTGTTATAGAGGATCGTACAAGTGCATGTGCAAATGTCTCGAAAAGCATAATGTCCCAGAGAATTATTACCAATGAGCAAGAGAGTAGAGCTAGGGCTCAATAAAAACTGGTTTTTAGCTTTGTCAGTCGGCACACAAACCAGTTTGCTGTAAATGTATTTCTGTAGCGTTAGTGTATACTATTTTCATGGCAGGTGAAGCGCTGTAAATAATGTTGTGGAACTAAGTAACAGAATGCAATAAATAAAAAATGTGTCTCCTAAAAGTTATTTTCATGTTTCCGTAAATTTGAACGTCTTGTTTTAAATGCCATAACTGTAATGTAAGGTAACGTAATTCAGGTCAATATTTCTGTCTGATACTAATGTAGCAATAGTTCG